ATAACAATTATGATTAGAAATTGGCTTTTTAGGTCTTTCAAATTTACATGAATGTAAATCATAATGATGATAAAGCCATTATAGATACAGATTAGAACTTCTAATTGATTACTCATTTTAACTAATAATACAGAAATTTTAACACTTAATAAATGAGAAATTATTCGGATATAAAATAATACATAAATTTAGGCTTTCTTTTAATAAAAGATTTCTGTAACATTTATCTGAAATGTATTCTATTTTGAATTAATTAGGATGTAATTAAAATAGAAATTATTCTGCTTGCTAAATGTTAAATGAAATCAATAATTAACTATAAATCTTTACTTTATTTTTTGAAAATTCATAAACTTTATTTTAGTATTTCGGTTTGGCACAACATTATTGAAAATAAATAATTTTAAAATTGTATAATATTGAATTTAAGGAAAAGTTAAATGAAATATTATGGAAAAATCTTTCACACACTTCTATCGCTCTACTAATTTAGAGAGAGAGGAAAATAGTTTTAAAACTATTATGCATCAAATAAGTTTTTAGTGAAATAATCTACCAATAAATTAATGTTTGCTCTTTATAATTGAGCAGTTGCTTTAGATAATAATACAAACACAATGCTATTTTTTTGAGTGTCGGATGGCTAGTATTAGGAATGGTATTAATTAAATATTTATAAAATTATCAAGCCTTAAACAGGTAAATTAGTGGATGAATGAAATTTTCTTCAGCTAAAGTTTAATTTGATCACAAGAAACATTTGTTACTAGCATGGCATAGCAAATTTATTGTCCTAATAATTTAAAAAAGCTTTTAATTTTGTTAAGAAGATGGTACAATAGATAACTTTTCGTATATCTTCCATTTACTTAGAATATTTGTATATTAAAGATAAATATAAATAAATTAACCCCATTATCTAATTTAACTAAGGCCTTCATAAACGTAATAAGTTTATAATTAGTTCTAAACTATCTGAAATAATATTAAATTAAATAAATTTTATCAAGCTCATAATAATTTCTTTCAATTTCTTGAACAGATTCCTTTAAAATAATAGTAACTCCAGCATAAAGAAATGCAGCCATTGTTCCTACCTTTAAATATAAATATTCAAAAATTACTTTTCAATCAAGTAGTAGTACATGGCAGTACAAATTTCATAAAGGAAACCTTCGGACTCAATTAAAAAAAAATATAAAATTTGAATAAAAATTACATCAAGTAGTAATTTAATCCTAATTTCTCTAATCTTGACTCAAAATTCTTAATTAATATTTCTTTAGCATCTATCAAGTTTTTTAATTAATTCTCTTATTTGTCCATTTTGAAATATTTCTTCATATTTTGAACATCATTTTAGAAATTTTATCAACGTATTTCTCAAGTTCGTAATTAATGTTGGTAAAATTCTAATGATTTGAAAATGATGCTATTTAT